CTGTCCTGCTGTACAGGGAGGGCTGTTTTCCTGTGCATGCAGCCGGAGTGAGAGGAGGGTGCCTGCCTTTCTTTCTCTAACAAAATTTTAAGTGCTCAACACTTTCTCATTAACCACTGACTTGTAAATCAGTCTCTGGCAAAGGGTATTTTTTGAACTCTCAAAAGTTCGTGGGTTTGGTTTCTTTTTTTGCATATGTTTCCAGTGTAGTGAACGCATGCTGCTGAGGTGCTGACATAGTATTTGTGTTTCCTGTATGTTGATACAATGGTGGAAAAATACATATCCTACGCACTGTTTTCAACTAAATTATGGCAAAGCACTGAAGTCCCTCAAAGCACATGGTTTATTAATACCGTCGTACACAGAAATGCATTTCTGGGCGGAAAATGTCAAATATGTAATACCATGTTTACCACAGACTTTTATTGCTTTAAATATTTTAAAAATAGAAGATACATTTTTTATTAAAAATTCCCCAAAACATTAACAGCTTCCTATTAGGCTGCTTCTACCAAAAAAGTGGGGCATGTTTGCCAGTATCACCCTCTGTGAAAATATGTATTTTAGAGCGGGTTAATTACCTTTTGTCTAAACTTGTGCAGTCTTAGGGAAATCTATTTAATGCTTCTAAGGCAGATACAATGGCAAGATTTTCAGCAAGTACACTTGACAGAAAACATACCCTGAAACCTTGATAAATCTCAAAGCTTGTAATATCTCTTTTTTGTAACTTTTGCTTTGGCATATAAAAAGTGTGAGTTAGCTATTTTATGTTTAAAGCTTGCTGGCTCTCGGAAAGTGCTTTTGAGGCTGGAAAGGGTAGGAGCTTGGTTTTTTTTTCTGCGTGCAACATTCCGTATTTCATCAATTAAAAAAAAAAGTTCAGTGCATGTCTGGAAAAATGTTTATATCGCGTGTTAGTTTATTTCATTTCCTAAAATCAGTAAAAGGGCATGGACTTCAAAGAAAAATGCATATAGCTATTTTAGGTGACTCACTTCTTTGGGTTTTTAATGGCAGTATGTATTATGGATATTATTATCGTGGAAGTTAATGTGTCAGGTGTTGCAAACATTTCTGCTTAGATCTGTGTGTGTGCTCATTTGTATATCATACATGTAAGTGTGCGCATCCAAATGTGCTCATAAATCCATAGCATTTTCAAGTATGTTTTTGTTGTGATTCATTGTCCAGTGGTTGGTTGTTATTAGCTACATGTGAAGCTAGAACAGAAAGTTTAAAAATATTTCTTTTGGATAAAAATGATGTGATTTCTAGTTGTAGAATAAAAGAGTTTAGTTAAAACTTGGGAAGCACGGAGCAATCAATGTAATTACCATACTGCTGAAAATAGAAATAGACTTCTCTATGGACTCTAATACTCAGCTGACAAGAGAAAATAACTATCAAAAGGCAAACCCTATGCCGTAAAATCTTTCCACAGTGTCAGACTATATTTAGGATTGATAAATAATGAAGATTTGCATATTTGGCATTTGTAGTTTTTTAGAAGAAACATTCATTTCCTGACACTTTTGTTTTCGAAAAAGTTCTGGAGAGTCTTTGTTAACTTTCAACCTTCCAAAAGCAGAAACTGAAATAAATGTTTAGCATTTGTTTTTTTTTTATTCCAGAATTGCCTTTTTTTTTCAGCTGTGAGAATTAAATTTTGTTTTGACTAATTCTGCAGATGTAGCTTTAAATTCAGGCTTGTTTGCTACTAATAGAGTGTGAACTTGCCTAATTAAAACCCCGAAGTATACATGTATATCTCTGCTCCAATGGAGATCAGAAACACTAGCAGTTATTTGTAGTTCAAACACTAGTCTGTGTATGACATGAAAGTAATAGCAGGAGCATGCTGATTTAAAGGCATTTTCAACAGCAAGCACTTGTACATCATTAAATGCATTTTCCACTTTCTTTTTTATATATTTCATCTGTCTCCAAGCACCAGTGTCCACAGTGGCTCCCACTGGTGATAGCAATGGTAGGCAGAGCGCTACAATCCTGACCACTACCTAGCACCTGGGTGTACTGGCTCCAAGGTGCAGAATTGCTTGTATACCTTCCCTCTGGATTTTTCCTCCCCCAAGCAAGCAATAAAACAGCCAAGTACTCTGAAGAACAACCTCCTTGCCTAGCATGTCAAGATCTAGAAGCTCATTGCTCATTGTGATTTTGATTCATAACTGGAGTGTTTGGAATGAAACCCCGATCCCTGTCAGCAATAGCCTGTAACATCCTTCTTGCACGCTGAACCATAATACCCATTATTTCTTTACATGTGTTTTGCTCTTAGAGAAACTATTAGCTGGATTTTTATGCCCTATTCCTTATATATCCTGAGCCCATCTAAATGCATAGGTAATTAAATGCATCATGTAATTATTCCAGTTGTGCTATATTTTCCCTCCCTTGTGTGCTTTCTAAAGCTGTACTGTACCTTTCTCTTCTTTCTTTCTGTTCATTTTTACCCCCCCCCCCTTTTTTTTTTCCCTTTTTTAATTTTTTTCCAGACCTGAGCTTGTGAGTGACAGGTTAGTTCATCAGCATTACAGCCCTCCTGTTTTTGTCTCATCTCATGCAGACAGGTCACTGTGTCCAATCACCCTTCTGGCTCTGCTATCCCCGGGGGAGCCCAGGCCAGCCTGCCATCTTGATCCACCGGCCTGAGGGCCCAGGCTGGCTGCACATTTCTGTGTTCACTGGTTCTTGCAAATACAGGAAAACGGGAAGGGGAGGGGGGGCAGCTTAAATTAGAGCTGTGTAAACTGAGAGGAAGTAAATTAGGTAACATTCTTCTTCAAATAAGCAGGCATTTGCAGTCATTATTGCCATGTTTGAGTTCTCCTTCCACATGTTAACCGTGTTTATTTTCCATATTTCAATGGTATCCTCCATGTGATCTCATCATCTAGTAAAAGCTATTTATGCAAGGGTAAACATGCGCTCCTTTCCCATAGAGAGTTCTGCCCTGCAGCCCCATTTAGGAAACTCATACATTGCTGCAGCCAAGGTGGGTCTTCCTGTTCTGCTGTTTAGTTTGTGGCTTTCTTAGATTTTGGTTTGTGTTCTTCCCCACGATTAACAGCAATAGGGGATAAACAGGAGAAGCCATTCATTTCTGTAACTCACGGGCCACTTTTCTGAAGTTTGATCTGTGGTGAGCTGTTTTGTAATGCAGATCAATACATATCCATGAGTTTATTTTTTACCAAAGGAAGATCAGATCTATTATGTTCATTTGTCTTGAGCAATCTTTAAGGGATTCTTCTTGTAGTAGTAGGGCATGTCTCTTTCTCTTGGCATACCCTTTGCCATCTCTAATCTAATATACAGAAGTGCCTATATCATATGCAAACAGAAATGAACCATCTTACCCATACATTTAAGACTTACTTTTACAATACATCAGGGAATTGTGCCCATCTGTGCACAGTTTGGGACAAATCCTGTTCTCTCTAGCAAGAATTAGACCCTTAACTGTAAGCATGACTACTTACATAGGTAAGGTCAGACTGCTTGTTCCCTTCTCTGCTTAGTATATGTCCAGCACAGGCATTGTTATCCTTTACAGTCATCAGCAGTTGTTTTCAGCAGTTCAAGATTGTGAGAGAGACTTATGGACAGGTACACACCGACTGTTGTTTTCAGTAGTAGAGAGACAATGTAAACAGTAAGAATCATGTTTGAAAAACTTCAAACCCATACTTTTTAATATTTATGAACAAGCTGCTACTCTGATAATGAAGCATTCCATCTCTGCAGAAACCCACTGTTTTATATGCTCCTAGTATACTGTGTCCTTAAAAATCATTATTGTAAGGAGATGCAGGAATGTGGCTGTAATATTTCACAGTATAAATATTTGTCGTAGAGGAGTTTGGATCTCGATAATTTAATATATGTAAATTCTTTGGTCCTAGGCCTGGATTCCAGCAAAAGAATGCACTTCTCTGTTGACTTTTGCTTTTACAGCAGAAAAAAATGGATTTTTATCATTTTCATTCGTGCTTAAAAAGATTTCTCTTGTTTTCACACCAAAATCAGGTTCTCCTTGAAATCAGCCCTCCAAAAACATCTTTAGTAATTTTTTTCTGATTGAATTTCTTTATAATTTTTCGTTCTGTGCTGTTCTGCTGTCTCATGCGTTAGTTTGTGGGCCAGGCCAGTTAGGAGGTCAAATCTTTAAAAAGCTGTGATTTATACTCTGTATATTCACTATTATTCTAATTGTAAGAGAAAAACGATGTAAGTCAGATGACCTTTAAATTGCTGGGCAAGTGACACTCATCCTGTGATGTAGATTTTTATCTTTTGGCAATGCATTTACATTCAAGTACCTCTACTGTGTTTCCTAGATTCTAGACTGATAAACTAAATACCAATCTGGGCCACTTTTGTATGTACAGTACATAGAAGTGACTGTGCCGAGCTTCTTATCTTACACTGACCTGTAGCTCTAACAAGACTTTTATTTTTCTTCTCTGATCTGAACTGCAACTCAAATGGAAGAAAATAAAATGACAATTGAAGACAAATTGCATATAGCGTTTTCAGCATTAGATGAGGACATGGCAAGGTATTATTTTTGTCCTGTGATTTACATCTCTTCAGTGGCATTTGCTCGTAATGCTGCTTCTTACTCTGACATTATAAAAATGGCAGGAAGAACCTCAGATCAGTCAGTTCTGAATATATAATGAGAGATACGTTTATCTCTCATTAAAGTTAACAGGACCTAAAGGTGTGCTTAAAAGTTGGTCAGCAAATCACTTAATCCTGTGGAAGAAGTCTGCAACTGCTGAATCTTTAGGTGCATAGTACAATACTCAACTCAATGGGATTCTTCACATAAATAACACTTCGCAGAATCTGGTCCTACTTGCCTATTGAGTAACTGTCATTGCTAATAATCACAACAAAGTCTGCTTTAAATGCTAGTTAAAGAATTGCTATGCAAACTTTTTTGTAATTAGAACTGACTATTAGGATTAAAGATAGTAACTCAAGGCTCTTGAGCATTTTTATTCTTCGAGGATATCACGCTACAGGTAAATGGACTATAGCTTCGGGGTTTTTGTTTCATCATTGGCTTTGAAACCTCTGTGATATGTAGGACTGTTTCTTCAAAAGAGAAAGATTAGTTGTTGATATTTGCTGCTGATATTCTGTTGACTGCTAGTGCTGCTCCATAGGAGAGCATCATCTAACTGTTAGATCAAAAGAAAATGTTGAAGATCAAGAGGCTGTTCTAAATTTCGAGCCATTTTCAAAAGTGGGAGTGGGAGCAAGTTTACAAAAAAACAAAGAAGAGGAGGAATGTGGGACCCAAAAATCTTTATCCCAAGCCACTCTTCTATGGGGAATGATATAAATTTTCTTAAACTATTTAGGTTAAATCTTGTAGTTACTAATAGGCCTGTTTTTTCTAAGAGTGGTGCAATTTGTACATGCCTTATAGTAATACAGCAAAACTATGTCCAGTATGCTATTACGTATAGTCTTCCATCTGCTCACATGGTAATTGATGTCATTAGCATTGGTTCACATACTTACAGTTGAAGAATGTGTTTCAGAGATGAGAGCTTCACAAACGGATCTTGCTCTCTGGTGTCCCGCACAGCTGTCCAATGCCCTTTGCTCATGGGAATGGGGATTTGGAGGGTAGGAAACTGAGAGCTGTTCTTGTCAAAACAGATAGGCCTTGTCTTGATGGGCTCTCTTGTACCACCTTGCTGCAAAAGAAATCCAATAATTTGATAAGCACTGCTGCAAAATCTTACTTGCAAGAGTAACTTTTGATCCTGTGATATTTCCAGTGAGTATTACCTCAGTTACTTGCTAAATGTGATCTGTTCCTATAGGTAACTCTAGGATAGGGCTCTGAATCCACAGATGGGGAAGGACACTGTAAAGAGAAACAGGACTGTAAGCAAAAGCAAAAACCCCAAAGTCAGAAAGGAACTTTATGCTACTTCAGTCACTGATTCCATGAAGCAATTTTTATTTTACAAGTTTCTATCATTTTCAAGGATCTCAGACTTGCGTGTGTTTAGAAGACACGATCCAGCTGTGTAATGGCACTTCCAAAAAGGAAATAATATAAGGGCAACAGTAAAAGACAAAAGTGTTTTTTTAGTTACCCCCTGCTATGGAAACAAGAGCTTCAAGCAATAGAAAATAACAGAGCACAGGATTTTTACGAGCAGATTAGTGAAATCCATGTTAATAGTATGACATAACAGCTGCTGTTAGACATATTGTGAGAAATAATTCTGTATCAGCACCTTGTCCTTTTCACTAAACTGTTTACATCTCTGACTGCTTTTCCACTTAGTGAGCCAAGTTGGGAAGCTATAACCAGGCTTTTACTCGAGCTTTGCTCATGTTTCTTGTGCAGTGAAGTATGGAGTTTTACCAGAATAAAAAGTCTGTGGGGTTGTTTTGTTGTTGGTTGGGTTTTGTTTTTTTTTTTGTGGTTTGGTTTTTTTAAATTCTATTTTTATTTTTCAAAAGCTGGAGGCTTTAGCCCATCTCTAGAAGTCATCTTTTGGAAGGGAGGTGGGAAATAAATAATAATGATAAAAACTGCAGCATAGACTAAGACTAAAACAACAATATTAATTACTAAATCGTTGTACTCATTGATTTTTTTAATTTATTACAATAGAAAACTGTGCCTGATCATTACTGAATCCACCTTTGAAACTAAAAAAGGGCTAAAGATGCAAATAATCGTGGTAATATTTAAGTCTGACGGTTGGGAAGTACTATCATGGTGGCTGTAGCTGTTGGGACTGGAACCAGATGCTGCCAAATGCTCAGTGCTTCCAGAGTCCTGGACTTCCCTCTGGCTTTGTTAGGCAGGACTCTGTTCCAGCAAGACCTGAATGTTTTCAGGTTTTTTTTGAAGGCAGGATTAGGCTCTGAAGCACATGAGGGGAAATCTTTCAGTTTTTCTTTTTTTTTTTCCTACTCAGACATTGTTAATGAAGGAAAAATGGAAAGGTTCTGTTTAAAGTGAAATAAAATAGTCTGGAATAAAGCAGGATAAAGTGGCTCTAGGAAACAAACAGCTATTGCAGGATTCCTGGCCGTAGGTCTTACCTTGCCTTCACTGTGCCCATCCCTTTTTGTGTACAAAATGTGCTTCACATTCTTCAAATGTCTTATACAAAGCAGAAATAATGTCTGCAAACAAGAAGCTCCCCCTCTTTTGAAGGAAAGGTTAAGAGTTGTGGCAATGTAAAAGTGGCTTCTAATGTGGAAGAATAAAGCAGAGAACATCAAACTCATTTCACTTAGTGTCAGTCACGATGATTTATCATTATAGTCAGGGTAAACTGTGATCTTGGAGCTGAAACAATTTTGGCCATTAAGAGGGAAAAAAACAACCCCCAAAAAGCAGAATGTTCCAGCTTGGTTCTTATATCCTTAGGGTTGCAATATTGAATTCGGAATTGGGGAAGCTTAATCTTGCAGCCAGATTTGACAAGATGCTGGTTGAACAGTAGGCAGAAGTGATGGTTTGTGTGTTGTAATGCCTGTGGTGGGAAATAAAGAAAGATAAGAAGATTTTTCCAGAAGCCTGGATGCAGTATTCACCACCTGCTCCAGCTCCCCACCAAAGTAGGCAAGAAAACCTGTGTGTGCGAGTTGGTGAGCAAAGCTCACAACTTCAAAGCCTGACAGAGGACAAACTGGAGTGCTGTAAAACAGCAATGTGAGGGTTGGCAGTGGCTCTGAACGCAGTTATCCTTTTGTTTGTTTCAGGGCTGTTGCTTGTTTGAAGGGTGATCATGAAACCATTTAAGCACATCCACAGGTAACCCCACAGACTCATCAGGGAAGCTCACATGAGCACTGCGTTGTGAATTAGACTATGCAGTACAAAAGGCTTGGATCTCAGTTGGCCTTAATGGGATACAGACATGTACAGCTATAAGAAATAAGCCAGTTCCTCAACTCCCTTCAGTTAATCCTGGAGAGTAGGATTCGGGGTGGGGTGGGGTGTGTGTCTGTAGGCAAAAACCTGGAGGCTACATCTGAAGTCTTGGAGAGGTGAGCAATGGACTCATTAATAGGTGTTTGGAAAATAAGGCCTGGATTTTGAATAGTCAAACAAGAACAAGAAAATGCTGAAGGCTGGACTTTATTCCCCTGAATCATAGAATCATGGAATAATTAGGGTTGGAAAGGACCTGAAGATCATCTAGTTCCAACCCCCCTGCCGTGGGCAGGGACACCTTACGCTAAATCATATCACCCAATATACTGGTTTCTGTTTGGTTTTTTTTGAAGTTCATGCTGGATTCTTAGCAAGAGGAGAAATGAGCGTGGCCCCCTAACTGGGGACTTAGAGTGACTCTGTAAAGAATTTTAACCCAAGAGGCACTGTGGGTACACAGCAAACCTTTGTGCTATTCTGCTCATGTCCTTATGCTAGACCCATCACTGTAGTTATTAGATCTCAAAGATTACATTCTTTGATCTAGTGCTTTCTAAATCCTTAAACCACAGTTTATTTATTTAAAAGGTTATATCCAGCATTGGATTGGATTGTAAAGTACCCTTTGACTCTTTTGTGAAGGACACAGTAGAAACACATGCTGCCGAAAGAGTCTTTCCTTCTGACCATGAAGTACCACAGTGTTTTATTGAATTAAGAACTGCACAAGGACCTGTGCTTTTCATCTGGCCAGTGTGTTGAGAATTTTTTTTACCTCATCAGTATCATGCTGTCATTCATTTCTGATACAAGAGACATTTATTAAGGTACAGAGGTGAATTTCAGTTACTCTCTAAATTAAAAAAAAAAAAAAAAAGCCAGAGTAGCCCCATGTCTCCCTAAGAAAATAAAAACACACTAAACCTCAGACAGATGTTAAACATGAGTTTGTTCAGGAGGTGTTCTTGGTGTCTCTTTTTGATCTGATATTTACCTGGAGTTATTACAGTTAACTGTTACATTTGAGTAAACATGGTCACCAGAAGCTTTTAAGCTTGTTCCATCAGATTCAGAAGCCCTTACATGAGCAAATTTACCAGTGTAGTCTACAACTCTTGATTAATTATGAAGAGTGTGGTGTGACTCCCAAGCTAATCAGCAAGAAGGCACAGAAAGCAAAAGAGGACATTAAAATTGAGCCCAGTGTGCTCCATCCTGACTGATATTAATTATACTCTATGCAAACCGGAGTCTTTTTTTTCCCCCAATCACTCTTGCAAAGCAAACTGTAAAAATTCTCATGTAATTTCCCTCAGATCTGGAGAAACCAAGACTGAAATTGGCACCTGAAAAGAGAAAACTTATTAAAAATAGCTATTATTGTTTCATTTTTAAATGCTTGTGTTTGGTCATTGTTCTTTTCCAAGAAGCTCAGCCCCTGGAGATAGTAGCCTCATTCTGCTTTATACTGAGACCCCTTTATACCATCTGGTAGCACAAACCAGCTGTAAAGTGAGTGTAAGAGTAATTTATTTGTGTCTACTTCAAAGCTCTTTTATTTTTCCAGAACGGTGGAAAAACACCACAGTGTAAATGGGAATCAGGCCTAAATAGATGGACTATGGACTGGAATTTCCATTTTTTTAGATGGAAATGAAAAAGACAGAGGCAGAAATCAGACTAGGGGAAGAGAAGGACTAAGCCTTATTTAGCTATAAACAGGCATTCGTTAACATCCATTCTGAACTGAAAAACAGACATGATAAAAGGGCTAAATCCTGTTTTAGGGGCCACCATCCATACCTTTGCTAGCAGTAATGAAAACCTGAAAGGGAGAGAAGTGAGCACGAGTCAGGCCACAGTAGTCAGTACCTGACAACACAACCAAAACAAAGTAGAGGAATTAATGTCAGTTAAATTCCTTCTTTCTATACTTTATAATTTCAGGTGAATTCTTCAACTCCAAGCCAAAGGGTGAATAAAAAGAGCGAAGAGAGAAGAAACAAAGCAAAGAATGACAGTTAGGCCTCATGGGAAACATCTTAAAATTTAGTCAGACATGGGAAAAAAATATTTAAATAGCATTTTGGGGGTTGACCCAAGAGTTTTCATTGATATTTTGAGAAGCTTCTTACTCCATTTTATTTCATAATACCTTTTAAACAGGTACATAGGAGGTTTAGGGCATTCTGTGAAGGTTGTGAGATATTTCTCACTCTGCTTCCCCATTTTGTTAGAGCCCAAGAGAAAAACAATGGTGGGGTTTGTGGAACTTTCTGTAATTGAAGTAGCCCAGTATTTCCTACCTTAAGACCTTTGCTGCTGCTGCTGCTAGCATTTCCACCTGGTGGCTATCTCTTCCTGAGTATTTTGTAAGACAATTTCAGCTAAAATACTTCAGTGGTTCCCAAGGAGGTTGGGGAAATAAGGGAAAGTGTTGCCCATTTTAAAGACACCCCATATTTAAGAGGAAAACTCTGAATTTGGTGAGAGGTAGGAGGGTTGTGTCTGAGATGTCTCTTCTGGTATCCTGTGACAACCCACCCATGTTTGATGATGTTCTAAGCCTTTGAGAAATGTAGTTGTCACATGTTTACTTGGTAGCTCTAAACAGCTACATCCCCTAAAGCTTCGCAGAAAAGGAAGGTGTGAAAGGAGCCTTAGAAAGTCATCTGCACAGAGACAGAAGCAGCTTATCTGAGTTACATCTGACAGGCATTTGTTTAAATTCTTCCTGAAAAAATCCAGCAGCACCACTTCCACAGTATCCATGTGCTGTTTATTGAATTTAATTATCCCTGATTTAGCATCCACTGCTGGAAAGTTTCCTCATGGCAAAAAGAATCTTTCTTGCTCCAAGTTAGACCTGTATTTTCTTCCCTCTTTTAGGGCTATCAGATTATTTCTGTCCCCTCCCTGGAAAGGCCTACCTTCTAACTTGGCTTGCCGTGGGGGATGGCAGAGATGGCACCAGAGACCCTTACTCTTCTAGGTACTCAGTGACTACACTCTGGGGGAGATGGAGGAGGAAGATGTTTGAATCAGATGAAGACAGGAGAAGAGCCAGTGAAGATACAGGTGTAGATTGAGCCAGTGAGTGCACAAGGAGTCAACCAGGAATAGAGATTTGTGAGGGCTGAAGAGGAAATCCAGGAGCTTGAGGGAACAGTAAGTCTGAGAGAGGTTAGGAGCTGTGAGGGGAAGTGGAGAAGGGGACTTGCCTCATCTGTGGGCAGATGAGAGAAGTAATGGAGAAGGGACTGGACCTGACTAGGGATAAAGGCAGAAACAGAAAACATATGGGGCAGGTTCACTCGCTGTTCAGGAATTTCTGCTGGCAAATCCCACTGGCAAAACATCTCAGTTTTCCTTTAAAAAAACAGAAGCTACACAGGCAAAATGTGAAAAACACTGTTTGTATTGCTAAGCCACATAATTCAAATGAAGTATTTGTACAGTCATAATTTGTTTTCCTTGTAAATATGTATAATAATAGACCTTGTAATTATGTAAACAACTACATATGCTGCAGAGATTAGATTCCTTTACTCTTAGAGACCTCTCTACTTCCACACTCCACTTCTGTTCCCATAACAGTATTTGACAATATAGATAATATTTTATTATACTTCTTTCTGAATATTATCTTTTATATATAATGGTTTTTGGCTTCCTAGAAATGGCAGAAAGTTTATGTATATATACTTATACACAAATATATACACATATGTGTGTATATATGTTCTGAGCCAAATTCCAGAAAAGTCAAATTTGATTTTAAATACTGGGGGGTTGGTAAATCTGGATTTAATCTTTAAAAATTTGAACTTCTAGAAATTAAAAAAGGGGATTTTTTTAAAGAAAGAGTAACTTTGAATTAAGGATTCAAACTGTGCTGCTTACAAAACATCAGACTGAAACATATGACCATTTTTCTCTCTTTTTCATATGAATGGTAGGATTAAAGGTTCTAACACACCTAAAGTTTCATTTTGAGTGAAACATTCCACAGGGATCTTGCCATTACTGTTTTCAACAGACAAAACCTATCAATTTATCCAATAGTTTTGCTAGAACAGTGACTGACATCTAGATTTCTGGATATATATAGACTTTGGTCTTTGTACAAAGTAGGCACATGAAATCCTTGTAACAGGTGATACTTGGCTGTTAATTTTCCACAGCCTTAATTAGTTATTTACAGTGTTCAAAATGTAAGCATTGCAAAGCCAAGTGCTTTTTCGTTTCAAGCATCTAATACAGTTCCTTTATTGCAAAGTAAAAGCTTCAGGTAAGTACAAAGAAACAATGCTGGATTATCATTTGAACAGATATAATTGCTGCTTTCAGCAGCTTGAAGTCACTTTAATTCCTGTACTCCTCCAATTTTATCTCTGACAGGAAGGGATGACTTTCTGAAACTTATTTAGCTTTTCTTCAGCATTATTTACAATTGCAACTATAATCTAATGTATGATTTGGTAAGAACATACCATCATACCGAAGGAGAACTGAGAATAAATAGCTAATACAATCCACTTACGTGGGACAGACTGATGTGCAAAGGGAAAGGAATAATTGCCAATATGAGGGTTTGGAAAAGGCAGGATGAGAAGAATGGTGGAGATGCAGTGTAGGAGGGCATGGCAGCAGCAAGTAAAAAGGTGTTTTGATAAGGCTGAAAAATTTAGCTTGTTTTGGGGTTTTTTGTGTTTTTTTTTTTTAAATTGTTTTTCTTTGTTTGTTTTATAAGTTTGTTACAGTTTTATGTATTGAACTGGTGGTAATAAGGACTTAAAAAAGCTTGAAAGATTAGGACGAGCATCCAGGATTAGGCTGTGGCAGAGAGCTGTGGGAAACAGCAGTGTCTAGGAAGGCTGACGATAATAAAACTACTTCATTGTTACATCCTTTCTCTTCACCTTTACCCACACAGCATCTGCTCAGATGCAAGTTCAGGGATGTGTCTTACCAAGCATCAGGAAGGCATGCTTGCAGTAGTGGTGCAGTAACAACTGAGAGAAGTGCAAAACCAGGGATTGATCCTGTCACCCTCCTCCTCTTCATTGAGACTTTGCAAAACCGTAGCTGTTACCTCCATTAATGTTAATCTCTTCAATTCCACTTTTATGCCTTAACTGAAGGCGGATTGGCATAGGAATTGTCTGGTCGCAAACTGGGGCCTACGATGTTTCAGATAGAGGTTACAAAACCAAGAACAAGTCTATGAAGCTGTCCTTACAAGTGACTTATATCCAGAGCTGTTCTGTTAGCAGAGGCGTTGCTGGCTGTGGTACCGATCCCCTCCCTCAATGTGATTTAATGATTCTTTTGAAATTGCTTTTCTAAAAGACACATTATTTTTTTGGTCAGTATCTGCCTGCTTTGAATCAGCCTGTGCTTGGTAAATGCCACCTTGGACGCACTGCATCTGCAGTTGTCTCAAGCACAAGGCTAGGGGTATAAAGTATATATTTTAGCCCCCCTTTTGTCCTTTCATCTGGTAAATGTTTCCCCTTCAGGCTAGAGAAAGAGAACTACTATTATTTGATTAAGTTTTACTAAAATAATACATTATTATGTGTTTTTCTTCACAAACGATCTGATAAGAATGGGTTTCATATGTAAGCTCATGTTGGTATCTAGGGCGTGAATTTATATCACTAAATCACTATCACTTTATGCTGTAGTCCCGTATCAGTGCCACTGTGCTCAGGGATAGCTGCTGCTGCTATCACACAGAGCAAATGCCAGCTAGGGACAGCCAAAATTTGGGTCTTTAGCTCAAGGGTGGCATATACAAGATGTGCAATCGCAATCATATCATGCAATACAGTGGGGAATGAGCCATGAAATACACAGCAAATTTTCTAGTGAAGGTTATTTTTTTACCACTGGTAACCTCAAGTTTTACCATTCTGTCCAGTGACGTCAGGTTCCTTCATTCTAACACTGTAAAATTTGGGTCCCAGAGTTGTAACTGGAACACTTCCCCTACAACTTCTCAGTCATGAGCAAGCCTAGCCACATGTATAATCCTTTTAAAGATGGAAAAGTTGCAGAGGACACCAGCTGCCCCGTAGTTACAGAAGGCCATTTATTTACGGTGCCTGTGGTGGAAATCAAGCAGCACCTTCACACAGGGAAGTGCAAGGCAGCCACTGCCCTTGAAGTTTGGGAAGCAGGGCCTGTCCCCACATCCCCTACATAGGGGAGGCTGGCATGGCAGCTGGGGACGGCTGGGTCTAGGCCAACAGGACAGGACAGGGGCTATGCAGGACCAGGGCTGTGGGGAGCTGGAGGTCTCAGCACAGCTGAGGCTTCGCTGGGCTCAATGGCACTGTGGGCAGGGTGTGAAGGCCACAGGTGCGGCTGTTCATGGCAGTCAAGGCTGAGCATTTCCCTGAGGAGAACCCATCGTCCTGTTCTATGAAGAAGGAGTTGTGTGAGGCAGCACCTCTGCTTTTAGGCTCTTTTAAACTTAAAATCTGGATTCATAGTGAGCCTGGATTTAAGATCAGTTTGGTGGGGTCGGGCGGGGGAGTCTACATAGAATGAGGGAAGGAGAGCTGAGGGAACAGATGAGGTGCATAAATGTCCTCTGCATGTGAATGCTTTCAGGAGGGGTGGAGCATTGTCTCCAGTCGTGGGACTTACAAGTACACAGACAGAGGCTTGATTTCAGTGCCATGTCTTGAAGGTGCTCCAGGCTCCTGCTGATCGTGGTGCTCTCCAGTTCATGTAAGTATAACTGTAGCTGTGGTGGTGGGTGCTGCTTATGCACCTCTGGGTTAATGCCAATATTGTTGGACTGTGGGCTGTCTCTTACGATACCTAGCAAAGATCCTGTTGATTGTAATAGGGTCATGTTTGAGCTATATGTTCATCTGAAATCTTATGTTGGAATCATTTAAAAACTAGGTAAGGGCAAAGGAAGGGGTGCTGCTGCATTTTAGCCAAGGGCATCCACCTTGTCATGACTGACCCGCTGCTGAGGCTTAGGTCTTAAAATGGTGAAGGAATAGACTTAAGTAGCTAGAGCATGTCCCAGGAAGTTACGAATAAAAATAAGGAACTGATAAGAGAACTTATTTGCCCAATCTTTATGAAACATTGGTCACTTTGCTTGATGTTGTGTATTCAGCTTGGTGGATTTGTTTCCTAGCTGAAATGAGTGATTAATGAACCTTTTGATTGGCCTCAAATGTGAGGCAAAATGAGTGGATTTTTTTGCAGGTTTCTTCAAAGTTGAAAGGCAGTAAAAGCAGTTTAAGCATTAATGGTTATAGAATTGCTGAGTCTTAATTTTGCAGGGGAGGCTTTGCATTAGATGCATGAGGAATGCTGGAGGAAATTAGGAAGTTGAATTTATCTTTGTTACACTGGGAAAAGCTAATAGCATGTGTTGTGTAGGCAATCTGAGCAGCTGCACGCTTGCAAACAGTTGTTGATCAGGAAGTATTTGGGAAACCATTGTTAAAGGATGATAATTTGGGAGACCTCAGAGCAGCCTTCCACAATCTGAAGGGGGGCTATAGGGATGCTGGGGAGGGACTCTTCATTAGGGACTGTAGTGACAGGACAAGGGGTAACAGGTTAAAACTTAAACAGGGGAAGTTTAGATTGGATGTAAGGAGGAAATTCTTTCCTGTTAGGGTGGTGAGGCACTGGAATGGGTTGCCCAGGGAGGTTGTGAATGCTCCATCCCTGGCAGTGTTCGAGGCCAGGCTGGACGAACCCTTGGGTGAGATGGTTTAGTGTGAGGTGTCCCTGCCCATGGCAGGGGGGTTGGAACTAGGTGATCTTAAGGTCCTTTCCAACCCTAACTATTCTATGATTCTAATTCATTTGAGTTACTTCCTAGGTCAGAATTATGAAACATAGATTGGAGAGAAGCATGATAAAAATGTAGCCTGTTCTCTACTACATAGTTTCAGCTTGGAAAAAGTGCTTGGCTTCTTTTTCTGCTTTTGGTAGTGTCTGACTTTGCCATGGATTACTGTTTAAAGGCTGGGGGGAGCACACACAAACCAAAACAGGAAACTAAGCCACAAAAAAAATGTTTCAAGACTGAATTTTTGGGGGGCTTTTTTTTTTTTTTTAATAGGTGGAAATCCCTTTCTTCAAAGGAGAAAGATGTACCAGAGGTGAAAAAGTAGAACATTAATGGAGGGCTTTGAAAGCTGTTTTTAAAAAGAACAAAGAAATAATTATTCTGCCATTGCATACAAGGGTATGGGTTTCATCCCTATGTTTTTTAATACTGGATTCTTTTTCCCGACAGTCTGATGAAGGTATTGACATTTAAGCAGCAAAGATGAGAAAGCAAAGGCTTACAGGTGCATCTTCATACCTCAGCTCTCATACCACCACTTGCAAAGTTGCTGTTAAGCTAAACCAGAGCAACAGTCAGGCAAAAACTGAATTACTTTGAGAATCTGTCCTTTGCTGTGCTGCATCAAGCATTGTGTTACAGTATTACGAACAGTCTTTCTTCCCAAAAGAAAGCGTTTGGCTTACTACAATTAGCATTCACTACGACTGCTTTTTTGCTCTCTACTTGTAAAGGACTTCTACTTCAAAGGGCTTTTATTCTTGGATAATATTATGTCAGTGCATCTGCAGCTTTCTTAAAGAATCTCTCTTTAGTGTACTTATATATTCTGAAGTGTTTTACAAATGCAACATTCTCCTGCTTCTGAGCCCTTCAGCTACCTGTAAGATGAAATGGAAAATTATGTGGTTGAGTCTAGTGATTTTACATGATCATGTGTATAGGGAAGTAGAGAATGTGTTACCAGTGGAATTTAAAGGAACGCACCAATTCCAATGTAGAGATTGGGCAGGATATCAGCAGTGCTCTATGGGATGTTTCCATTGCCTTCTGATAGGCCAAAAGGGGGGGGAAAAAGGAACTCTCTAGTTGCACTTGTGCCGGCTGTGTTGTACCATGTTTATCATTTAGAGAATACATCACAGATGTTAATGTGTGCTTAGGCACATGGGGTAATATTTGGGTTTGAAACACCTATTTTCCTCCTTACCTTTGTGCTTCCAGCAGGTGCTTTTTACAGTCTAGGAGATTCTTCTGTCAGGTTCTTTGCCAGTATTGCAGCTCCACTTTGGGTGGGTAACAGCATCAGTAGATGGAGATCAGGTGTACTGGGCTCACTGCATATTTCTTCTTTCTGTAGTTCACAGTAGGCATTCATTAATTTTGAAGTTGCTGGTTCCTAGCAAAATCTGATAAAATAGCCCACTTTGTTCTGGTACCAAAGGAAAAAGATGCAGAGTATAGAATGGCATGCAAATTTATTCCTTTTGACTTTATTACAGAACCTTGCTCAAAACTCATGGTGTACATATGGACACATTCTGATATTGTCGCAAATGTGCTGTTATCAGTATTGCTAACAGACCTCCATCATGAACACCGTCAGATCAAATGTAAATACTAACTAAGGCCTAATCTAAAAATCTGAGCTTGTGGCAAGATTCGGTGTTCTTTAGACATGTCCCAAGATAATAAATTAATCATTGTTTTAGCAGAGTTCTGCCTCTGTAATTGAGAAAATAACTTTGTTAAAGAGGAACAGTTTTGTTTACCTGAGCCTTCCGATGTTCCGAAGCTCTCCTGTTCTTACCTTTGGGGAAATAACATGTGGTATCTTAACAAGTATGAACGGGCTGCAGAGAAGCAATAGCAGAAAACACTACCTTCCTGAATAAAGAATGCCACTTTTATAAATAAAACACGGTGTTTATCCAACGACTGTACTGTCAACCTATGAACTCTATTAAGCTTGATTAAAAAAGTCTGTGGAAAAAAGGGTGAAAATCCTGGCTTCAATGGAGTCAACAGGGATTTAATCATGAACCACCTAGAGGATGTGTGGTAGGTAGAGGTGTAGAATGTCTATGCTGGGTTCCGAATCTGTTTTTAAGCATCTTGGTGAACAGAAATTATGGAGAAATTCCTGTCTTCCAAAAGCTATGTACTAATAGCTGATGTACCATGAAGAAAAACCTGCTCCAAGACCTGAAGGTATATTAATTATCAGTGGTCTAAAGAATCCCATCTTCCAAGGATGAATCTGTACACTGCTCCATTTTGCTCCGTGGCAGTACCTACATTTTAATGTAACCATTCACTGATTGAGCAGTGGCAAAACACTGTTTGTCTTATTCAGCCTATGAAAACTAAGAAGTATTCATATAAGATGCTGGCTAAAATGTATTCATATAAGCCTCTAGACACACATGGATTTCAGGATGCTTGCAGTCCTTGCTGAACATAATTGGAGCTTAATGTGGTGATTCAGTTCCTCTGAAGAGAAAGATACTTAT